GTATATATACATATATATTTATATATATATATATGGTGTCAAAATACACATAGACGCATACAAGGGTATATACAAGAAAGTAACTAGCAATCATTTATTCATATTTTACCGTGGAACATACACAAAAATGCGGTATATCTCAACTGCGATTGCATTCATATACTTCTATCGCCTATGGCGCCAGATCGAACTTTTGATACCGGAACATGATACAAAAGATGAGCTGGCAATAGTCTCTCGAATACTTCATTCACACATTGCATAGTAACATAGTAGTATATACCTTTGGTGGCTACTTCCTGTGAGCCTAAGATACTGTCCATCTCATCTTCAAATTCATCGTCAAAGTCCAGGGCATTGTCGTACGCTGCTGCTATCGTGTTTGTCTCGTACGCACCAGAAACGCTCGAGGCGCTCGATTGCTTGATGTCCGTCATGGCAGTGGCAATATGAATGAGCATATGGTGTCACTAAGACTTTCTCAGAAGAACCATTCTCTACAGAATACCATCCTTATTGCTTTCAATGTTTGTATGTATGTGCGTGTGTGTGAGAGAGAGTGAGTGTAAGTGTGTATTCGTGTGTATGTGTGTGTATGTTCGTGCTTACACTGGCAACACTATATCTGATATCATAGCCTCAGACACTTTCTGCCATTCTGGCGCCCTTTTCAACGATATCCTTCTTAGTCGATTACATATCAATATCAACTGGCAAATGTCAATTGACTGTTTGACACCTGACTTTCAATAGTTTTCCTGTAATTTTTTAAATAAATACATAAATAAATACATAAATCTATAGGTGCGAACTGCGAAGCTTCAGCCTTCATCAGTGTGCTCACTGCTCAGAGCTGCTACGGGGACATTCCGAGCCATTCTACTTGACTGATATTGTTTTAATTACTTAGCACTTTGACATCAAATAGGGGATGTTCCTTGTCTTTCTCACTAATCTATTTAAAAGAGAGTAAGTCGCTATTCTAAAAACAATAGTGGTATAGGCAGGAGACCTATTACAGGTATAGGTGTTAAAACAGCAAGTATCAATAATGGTATTATAAGGTAGGAGGGGGGTTTTTTAAGGTCTATACTTTATGGTTAATTATCATACTGAGTTAACAAAGATGATAGTCTTCTTCATAGCGCCTATGGACTGTCATAATGGTACCTATCAACACAAGTATATATATTTCATATAGAT